GAAAAGCAAAGACACAGTCATCCCAAAAGTCAGCATGGTGTCTCCTTCCAGCGGAGGGGGGAGGCAGAGGGCTTCTGGTACTGGCCATGTTTTGTTCCTCCCCCTGCATGGTGTCTACATGGATATTCACTTTGAGACAACTATTTAAACTGTGTATGCATGTTTTATGCACTATTTAGTATACATGATATATACAAAAAGAAGAAAAGTTTCTAAGTAATTAGAGAGATTGTTTTGGTTTCAACTTAAATAAAAATGTGTTTCCTAATCAGGGAAGATAAACTGTTCCGTCTCTGCTTTCTCACATGTGCTGACATCTTCCTTGCAGCCGGTATACAGTCAAGGTTTCTAGCTATTGCATTGTCATATTTATCAATAAAACATGCTATAGATTTATATATAATTTGTATATCCCTTAATTTAATAGTAATGATTGTGTTAGTTATCTATGACTGCAGAAGAAACTACCCCAAAATTTAGCAGCTTAAAACAACATTTCTTATCTCACGGTTTCTGTGGTTCATGAATCCGGGTGCCGCGTAGCCGGGTCCTGGGCATCTGTAAGTCTGCAGTCGCGCATTGGCTGGGGCTGCAGCCACCTCACCGCTGGACCTGGAAGGCTCCACTTCCAGAAGGCTCACGTGGTTGTTGGAGGGCTCGGCTCCCCGCGGGCTGTTGCTGTTGGGGACTGTTGGGGGCTATTGGCTAGGTACCTCCCTCGGTTTTTGCCCCTCGAGCCTCTCCCAGCACGGCAGCTGGCTTCCATCAGACCAAGCACCTGGGACACAGCCACAGTCTCTCCTGTTACCTAGTCTAGACGTCTTTGCTGCATTCCACTCCTGAGAAGCAAGTCCCCAGGTGAGCTCACACCTGAGGGGACGAGGTCACACCGGGCAGGAAGACCAGCAGGCTCTTTCAGGAGCTGCCCCTTCAGCGACATCACCCCCCAGCCAGCTCCTGCTTTGTTCCTTTGGAGAATCGTGGACCACTATTCAACAAACATCGCAGGATACAGAGTTTCACTCGCACAAAGCAGCTGCATCATGAGGTGATGTCTAGCAGCCAGAGATTCAGTCCTTGTGACAAGTATGGGGCTCACGTGTGAAACGCTATCCATCTTCTGTGCCCGCAGCGTCGTCCTACACAGGGTGCGGGTCCCTCTCACTGAGCCTCAGTGACCTGCTGGGGGCCACTGTGCGTCTTCCTGAGGAGGCTCTCACAGCATCCCTAACCTGTGAGCTCAGCTTTCCTCTACGAGGCCGAACTGGGGCGACCCCGACCAGCCATTCCAGTCTCACTCACGAGAGGAATTACGAGAACGCACAAAACACTACAGTAAGAGGAGTTGTTCTTACAGTGATAAAAGCGCTTATTAAACAAGTGTTTTTATAGTGTTGATTTTATTAATGATGAGTTGCTATTTCTTGGATAAAAGTGAAACACATTGATCTCCATAATGTCCATGACAGTGGGAAAATATGGAGCAAAAATATTTTCTCTTGCAGTTATTATGCTCCCCTTTGGACGGCCTAAGAGAAAAGTCCTCAGGTGCTGGAGCAAGAACATGCCCCAGATACGGAGGGATCTTTGACCCAGCTTCAGCGGCCTCTTATCGAACACACTTATGTTTTGGGAGATCACAGGAGTGAGCACCTCCTACTTAGTATATATCTGTGATATAGTCCTTCCACAGTGCATGTTAGTCATTGGGAGAAAAAAGAGAAAAACAGGTGAACATCTAGTCCTCAAATCTTTTAAAGCCTGGAAAGGAAGATGAAACATCTATTTCTAAAAATACACAAAGAGACCAAATTACAGAAGTTTAACAACAGCTTTACATATTTTAGCAGAGAGGTCTATTCCACAGAGAGCTAAAAACATTGCAAACCCCTGATGAAAGCTCACCTGCAGATGCAGCCTCTGAGAACATTTCCGGGAATGACGCCCGTTAGCTGGTTTTCTTTCACAGCAGAACCGCTGCCAGGCCTAGGCCCAGAAGGTCTGCGCGGTTGCGAAGCTGCACATCTGAGGCCTCTTTACCCCCGGGGGCCTCAGCTACTGCTGCCACCAGCATTCAGCACAAGCAAAGGCCTGGCGGCTGCCTGTGTGCCTGAAGGACGCCTCACACAAAACGCTATCGGAGTCAGCTGGGAGCGATTACCCGCCACTGAAAGATCTGGGAACCAGAGGTCAGAGAAACTTGAGGAAGGGAGTCCTTAGCACATTTTCTTGTCTTTTGTGTGGATTTTTCTTTTCTTTTTGCGAGGACCAGTGGTTCTCAGACTTGAATGTGTGTGGGAATCACTGGTGGGCGTGTTGAAGCACAGCTTGCTGGGCCCACCCCAGAGATTCCAATCAGGGGGCCTGGCGCAGGGTGGAGAACGTGGATTCCCAACAGCTCCGGGTGATGCTGACGCTGCTGGTCCAGGACCACACTTTGAGAAGCCCTGGCCCACAGCAAGAGATCTTCATAAATGAGCAAGAAGCCTGCATGGCTGGTGAGTGTCTGGGGTTGTCCATGTGCTTAGGGCTTGTGGGGTCCCGTCTCCCCACTAAAGTCTCAGGAATATCCACTTCAGTCAGCCTTTGATGGACTTCTGGAATGAAATTAACAGTCCTAGTTGTTGGCCCTTTATTAACCCGGCTGGGTAGTATATAAGTACAATCCACAGATAACCCTGAGACTTCACTGGAGTCAGTGGCTGCTGCCTTCTGTCCAGATGCACGGGGAAAGTAAGGGAAAAAAATGGAAAAGAACAGACTTTTTCAGAATGTTTCCCTGTCCTAACTTGTTCCTGAGCGTAACGAACCTTGTAAAAAGCAGAAAGTGGTCAAATATTTGCAACTCGAAGAACAGGCAAGACTGTCATGAGCTGGAATCCTCCCTGTTCGGTCTGCCTCCCTGCGCGGTTCGTCTCCCCACCACCGCTTGAACTCAGCTCCCCCTCGTCCCTCCTGGCAGGAGGGCACTCCCCCGCATATGTGGAGTCTTCGTGGCCCTCCCTCCAGATAGGCAAATCCAATACGGGGCCCTTTCTCTGAGCTGACACTGCCTGCAGCAGGGCAAGCAGACCCAGGCTGTACTTCAGTCCCGCTCACCTCCTTAACCAGCGCCCTGGTCTCGTGCACAGACCACACAAGCGGACGCAGAGCTCAGGAACCACCGCACCCATGCCCGCCCCACCTGCCCATCCACGGCCCGTGCCACCAGCACGATCCTCCTCGGCTCCACTCCCACTGCACCCTGGCTCCAAAGTCTGCAGCGAGTGTTGGGGCCTCAGAGCTGCAGCCCTCCAGCCCTCGGGATCTGAAACCTGCCTCTCCTTCCAGCTTCTTTTCCTGCTGCCTTTCCTCCTACTCCCGGAGCTTCTGTCGGTGGAGCCACGCACTCAGCCCAGCAGGCCACGCTCCCTTACTTCTGGGTGGCTTTGCACATGCTATTCCTTCACACCAGAGAGTTTTTCCTTCACGCCTTTTCCCCTTGTTTTCTCGGTCCATTTCTATTCATTCTTTTTAGAAAATTATTTCATGTAAAAGAAATATGGACTTATTTTTGAACTTGGAAAATACAAAGAATTATGGAGGAAAAAGTCCACATAAAAAGGTAACTGTGGGGGCTGGCCCAGTGGCATAGTGGTTGGGTTTGCACACTTCAGTGGCCTGGGGTTTGTGGGGTCAGATCCCGGGTGTGGACCTACACAGTGCTCATCAAGCTATGCTGTGGCAGCATCCCACATAAAATTGAGGAAGATGGGCACAGATGTTAGCTCAGGGCCACTCTTCTTCACCAAAAAAAAAAAGGAAACTTTGGTTCACGCTTTGGTTCTTTGATTCATTTTCTCAGGGTATTTTCTATGCACATATATTCATGGATTATATCTTAAAATAGCTTGTGTCCTCCTTTTTTCACTTAGTCTTACATTGTAAGCTTTCTTCTCAACTGTTATAAATTATTTGAAAACATCTTTATATAAAGGCTGCATAATTTTTGTACAAGTTTGTGCACGTGTGTATATTATATCTGAAGAGTTTGTTTAACCCTTGTTTTGATCATTTAGATGATCATTTTTTTCATTTTTCTATTTTCTATTTTTTTCTATTACAAATAATGCTACAAAGAAGAGTTTTGCACACAACTATGACAGCCCTCTGACTATTTTCTAGGAGAGGATTCTAGATGGAATTACTGGACCAGTAGAAAGGAACACTTTTAGGTTCTTGATACACACTGTGAGGTTGCTCTCGAGAAGAGGTGAACAAATTTACGAACTCGCCAGGGGAGCATGAACATTCCTCTTACGTAATAACAGTTGCTCTGCTATTGAAAGTCATGATTTTTTGCATGTGGCCCTCGATAATTTGATTTTAATTTGCATTTCTTTGATTACGCTGGACATTTTTCTACATTATTAACCATACGGATTTCCTCTTGTGTCAGGTATCCTTTTGTGTCCTTGGTCCAGTTTTCAACTGGAGTCATTCCCAACACCTGGTCACTGTGAAGTTCTGACAGCCCTGCACATCACCTGTGGTCAGGCCTCCTCGAATCAGACTGTGTGCACGTTTAGTCCTGATACTGTGCGCTTGCCTGTAACCCGACGTGCCCGTCGCCCCCACTGGACGAGCAGCAGCTCCCAGGCCAGGACCGAGTCCTAAGTTCTCCTCCTCGGCACCTAGCCAGCTGCCTGGCACAAGGTCTGTGTCAAGCGACTCATTTAATGAACTAATGAGGAAATCAAGACGATCACTGAAGAGCTGACTTCTAACTTGACATGGATTTCATCAGGATGGTCTGTCTACATTTTGTATAAAGCAGAAAGGATAACTAAGTTCGTGGATTAATCCTGCAAACTTGTTTAATGTGATTGCTAACAGAGCAGCATGTAAAAATCCACACCGTTACACTGCTAGAGGATGAAAGACTCCTGGCAACTGTTTACTCAAAAGAGAAAACTAAACCCTTTGCTTTCATTTGTGGAAAAGTAATTTTCTCTGCAAAATATTATAAAATTATGTTTATTGAATCATCTGGAACTTTTCCAAATACCTGTACAGTTATTGTAACACATGTTCCCAAAGGAGAACACAAAGCTGCACGTCCTCTGACAGTAAACACAGATGCACTCACACAGAAAACAAAAACCAAGGTAAACCTTGAAAATAATTGCGTTTTCCATCACGCCATACTCTCAATTATAATTCGTGAATTCCTAATTCAGCCACTTCACAGTTTTGCTCTAAAAAAATACACATATATCCAGGTTAATACCATCTCTGAGACAAAGCAGAGGTGAAAAGCAGGGTTTCTGCCAAGCTGGAAGTAAGGCAGCCACGCTCGCCTTTGGGAGGCACAGCTGAGCGGGGGACCCGGGACTATTCGGTGCAGATACTCTCCAGCAGAGAGTCTGGTGTGTTGGGTAAGAAGGGGCTCCAGAGGTGCCGAGATGCACGCTCACCCCCCACCTGTGCTTCTGCCTCAGGGGAAAGATCTCACCTGCAGCTGAGTTCAGTCTCTGGGCTGGTTCATTAGCTGCAGGCGCATTTGCCCCACTCTTCCTCTCTGGTCATAGTGTTGCTCACTTTTGTAAACATTTAAAGGTACAATAAAGTGATCGGTTGTGCTCCATCTGAGCCACATGCTGCTCCACTTTTGAAGGCGCAGCTCTCAGGAACCGCAGTAAGATCTTACTGGCTCCACGAGGAGCCTACTGCGGCTGTTAACAGGTGGAGTCATTGCCACCAGTCTCAGCGGAGGTGAGCGAGTCCTGGGTGGGTTCCTCACCGTGTGGAACGCCCGCTGCTTCACACAGACAAACGCACAAACACGGCTCTCTGGCAAGTCAGGCATCACTTTCTTCAAAGAAGCATAATCCGTCCCCGAAGCATCCATCAGTCAATACGATAAACCTATCGAATGGGGCTCCACAAACTGAGCCAATACCTAGTAACCCGCTCCTGAATTTTGATTTTGACTGACATCTCTGCCTCCACGCACAGTCCCATCTCACCTGTGTCTGCTTCCTTATGCCTTTGCCCTCCACACGCCACCCGGTCATACTTCCCACCTCACTCCTCTGAGCAGCATCTATAATTTGCGCTATACTTGGAGCAGTTGGCAAAGAAGAGAATTAAATAGGGGTAATTAGGATACAAAGTAAACAAATCAGGTTTCTCTAGAAATGAACAGGGTAAGAAATTTTAACACCTATCACATAACTGTAAACAGTGCTATTTCCACTGGATTTGAATAAAGACCCCTCTAAAAAATTAGGGGCACCAAATACAAACATTGGAACAATTAACATCATCACTTTAAGACTTGTAACATTATTTATAATACATGAAATTGTAGTTGCTGTTAATAACTCAAAATGAAAAAAATCCATTGAATGGGATCATGAACATAGAGTGACAACAAGTTGTTACATCAAACACTTTTGAAAACACATTTAGAGGTTTTGCTGTGGGAAATGACTTTTAAGGATTTAAATTGTAGGATTTTTTTGTCATAGTTCTTTGACACGAAATGTGATATATTCCACATCTTACCAGAAAGGATAAAACCTGTCACAGACTGGATTCCGTGTTAGTTTGGCAGGAATTGCTGTGCCAATTTCTATACATAAGAGGCCTAATGAAAATCTTGTGAAAAAACATCCGAAATACCGCTGTTCTGAAAATGATGAAAATCCAAGGGTCCGCGATGGAGATGACGGACAGGAAGCGCAGAGCTCGGAGGTCTTCGGCTTCCCCCGTGGTCCCGTTCTCCTCCAGGACAGGTCTAAACGCTCCACGGTAAGCACGGTACTGTTGGAGAGAAAACATCCCGTTATGACATTGAAAGGTTGATGGCAACGGTAAGTTCACTTATTTCACATAGGATACCTTACTTTTCTGTAAGAACACGGTGGCTTGGCTTGGAATAACCATTTCTCGTAATTTATAAGCAGCTGAGGCCAGTGCAGCTGAGGATGCAGGCGAGGAGCCTGGAAGGGGCAGGGCCCACCTGGTATCCCGTGGGATGGGGCACTCCCGGGAGCCCGTCTCGGTCCTGGTGGCTGTCCCACCTGCCGTGCGGCTGCAGGCTGGAGTTCCCAGGGCCCTGCCAGGCCAAGCAGAGGAGCCAAAGTGGGACAAATCCAGTCCACAGGGTCACCACAGTTCCACACACACGGACCTTCTCTCTCCATGTTTCCCTCAGTTCTCTCTTCTGCCTGCTGCCTATCCTCTTGTCACTTAGCCGAGAAATAAGTCACACTCATGCAATGTCACATGTACGGAGACACCAAGCACACAGAAGGCTTTAATCCAAGTGAAGAGACAGGACACACGCCGAGGAAAATGCCGGAGGAGACTTGCAAAGTGGCCTGTTCAACTCACATAAACACTCTCCTCCTTCTCAGAATAGATGGCCATCTTTCAACGGGTGACAACCTCTTTTCAGACCAGGAAAAAAATGAGCTCAGAATATAAGCCCACTTTCTGCTGCCCAGCTGCTCCCACCGTCTTGATCTCCCCTGAGTCTCTGGGGCCTCCACAGAGCCCGCACACCACCTCGCCCCACAGCCCACACTGCTGTCCGCCCCAGCACTGTGCTGCCGTCAACCCCACTGGGGACCAGCCACTCTCTCGGTGCCAGCTGGGATTCTAAATCCCCACTGCGACAATAATGGATCGGGGGGCAGAACATGTGCAAACTCAGCATTAGAGGGAGGGCGTGAGTCAGTGCACAGCGGGCCCCACTGGGGGCAATCAAGCAACACAGGAAGACGGGTCTGCCCACAACTCCAGCTCACCTTTTTCTCTCTTCTCCAAAGAGTATTTCAGTGGAATCCGATACTCCAGCTGGTGCACTTAGGAAGATACTTGACCCCTGGAGGCCCTCTCCCATCACCACTGCTCAGTAACGTGAAGAGTAACGGCTGATGCCACAGAGAGCTGACTGCTGCCAGGCACTGTTGGAAGCACTTTACTTTAAAACCTCATTTCATCCTCACAAAAATCCTATGAACTAAGTACGATCATTATCTCCATTTTACAGACGTGGAAACCAATGATAGGCTCAAATCCTACCTCCTTCTGAGGTCTCCCTCAAACATGACCCCTTTGGGAAGCCTCTTGGGGGGATGGCTAAGCACATCGGCCTCAGAGTCCTACCGTCTGCATTAGGAAGTCCCCTCGTGGCTGTGTGACTTCAGGCGAGTGCTCCTGCTCCCTCGTCTCTACCACGGGGATAATTACACCACCTTCCAGTGAAGGGAAGTTTGAATGCGATGGTCAGAGCACAAACCTGGCCACAGGTCTCAGCACACAATGATAACTCAGCAAGTAGCCAGCATCACTACTTTATCCATTAGGAGTGACTCCTTTCCTCCTCCACACTCCCCTATGGCCCTAGTGTCTCGTTCCCACCCCTGCTGTTAGAGCTTATGTGGGCAGGTGCAACGTTTCTCTCATTTTACATCCCTCTCAATGAGTCACAGTGTCTCAAATGTTGGAGGCTGAAGCGATAAATGGACGATGATGGGCTCCGCCCTTAAGTTGATTAAAAAGCAAACACTTCGTATGAGCTTGTCTTTGCATTTGCTCTTTCTTCTCAAAGTGGAGGCAGCAAAACATAACTCCAACTATTTGAGAATGCTTGACGGGTTGGGATCTGGGTAACCGAACGACACATATAATTAAAACAAATCATTTATTTCCATACAGCATTTATCTATGCCAACTCTATTGCATATTATTAGGTTATCTGTATTTTCAAGTTACTTGATTTGTATTAGAATTGTATTGTTCTACACTTGGCCTTTTAATTTAACTTATTTATTTTTATTTTTTGAGTTTACTAAAAATATGACAAATTTGGGGGTGGCCTGAGGCCAAGTGGTTAAGTTTGCGCTTCTGTGGCTCAGGATTTCCCAGGCTGGGATCCCGGGCGCGGACATGGCACTGCTCATCAGGCCACGCTGAGGCGGTGTCCCACACAGCACAACCAGAGGCACTCACAACTAGAATATACAACTATCTATCAGGCGGCTTCGGAGAGAAGGAAAAAAAAGATTGGCACCTGAGCTAACATCTGTTGCCAATCTTTAAAAAAAGAAAAGAGGTTTGTCTTATTTAAGAAAAAATGACAAATTTATTCACTCCTGACATGTGATCAAAGTACGTATTCTATTAATTTTCAAAAGATATCAACTTCGACTTTGATATCAATTTAGACTTTGGAAAGACCTCTGTCGATCATTAGCATTCTCCAGAACATACTTCCTAAACTGCTGCCGTGCAGCAGGGCCGGAATAACCCACAACCCAGGAGGCGGACGCCGCGCGTCTGAAGCAGGTGCATCTCCGGAGCCTCCGTGTGGGAGGCGCGCCCTCTGCGGGACGCGGGGCCTCGGACACCCCGCGGGGCGAGATCTAAGCGGCCTCGCCTCTACGCCCTCCTCCCTAGACCGCGCCCTCTGCTCCAGCCCTTGAAATCCGCTTCCTCCCTTTTCGCTGGGCCCCCTCTCCCGCCCACCAAAGCGGACATCCCTCCAACAGCCTCTTCCGTAGGGAGCGTCCCACCCGCCCCGCCCCCCAAAGGACAGGCGCACTGGAGCTGTCTGCGCACGCGCAGGCTGTCCGCCTCTTCTCTGGCTCCCAGGACTAAAGGATGCGGTTACCAAGCTCTTGCTCATCTCGGCCTGGCTTGTACCCTGTCAACCGTTATGGCAATCAACACACAAACGTCCGCTCTCATGCATCACTGCTCCCCTACTAACCTCCAATATATCGTGGTTTTCTAAAGAAACAATAATTTTGGTGAGAATTTGTTATATGCAGTAAAGAATGTGCTGCAAACTGCCTCTAAAGCTCTGCCCAGATTCTCTATACTTTCCTCCTCCTGCATCAAACTGGAAAGTTGAAATTCAATCTAGCTAAGTATCTTGCTCTAATCCAGTTTATAGCAAAGTTAATTTTAAAAATCATACTCCAACATACTTCCACCAGCTTAACGAAACACAATATTTATGCTATGAGAAGGAGGTTGTCTCCACACATCCAGACCTCCCTAGGGTAATAGGGCGTCTAGACCTTCCTACAGTAACAGGGCATCCAAACCTCCCTAGGGTAACAGGGCATCCAGACCTTAGGGTCACAGGGCATCCAGACCTCCTTAGGGTAACAGGGCATCCAGACCTCCTTAGGGTCACAGGGCATCCAGACCTCCTTAGGGTCACAGGGCATCCAGACCCTCCTAGGGTAACAGGGCATCCAGACCCTCCTAGGGTAACAGGGCAACCAGACCCTCCTAGGGTAACAGGGCATCCAGACCCTCCTAGGGTAACAGGGCATCCAGACCTCCTTAGGGTCACAGGGCGTCCAGACCCTCCTAGGGTAACAGGGCATCCAGACCCTCCTAGGGTAACAGGGCGTCCAGACCTTCTTAGGGTCACAGCCTATCCATATTCACATTTTCAGAGACCGTCCTCCGTACCCTGTGCTCTCAATCTGCTTTTTTCCCCCATTTTATCTGCTGTAATCTCTGTGACTTTATTGTCATTCATTAAATCATTGTGAAATCCCAAAGTTTTCCTTCACCTATTTAAAAACACTAGAAGGGGCCTGCCTGGTGGCACAGCAGTTAAGTGCACACAGTCCGCTTCGGCGGTCTGGAGTTCACCAGTTTGGATCCCAGGTGAGGACATGGCAGTACTCATCAAGCCATGCTGTGGCAAGCGTCCCACATATAAAGTAGAGGAAGATGGGCACCGATGTTAGCTCAGTGCCAGTCTTCCTCAGCAAAAAGAGGGGGATTGGCTGTGGATGTTAGCTCAGGGCTCATCTTCTTCAAAACAAGCAAACAAACAGAAAACAAATAAAAACACTAGAAGTACATTTTAACTTGCTTTGCATAACATTTTAAATTTGTCTTATTTTTATTTTCTAAAACAATAAATTGTGATAGACATAATCCACATTAAAAAAGCTCTTGGGTCCTTAATAATTTTTAAGAGTAAAAAGGGATCCTAAGATTAAAACAAGTTAGAGAACCACTGCCTTAAAACAACATTATCTGCTGAGGTCCTATTTCTTAATAATTGTCATGTTCAGTGGAGAAGAATGGAAGTTACAATTTGTAATAATAGTGATACTAATTTTCGAGGCCAGGCACTTGGTTGGGTGGTTTATATACATTACTCAAATCTCATAACTATCTTACAGGGTAAGTGCGGTTACTCTCCTTTCACAGATGAGGATGTGAGGCTAGAGAGGTGAATACGCCTCTATGGAGGGCACTCAGGGAGGAAGCCTGTTGCAGCCCCGTCTGCTGCTAAAGCCCCATCTTCCTCAGAAAGTGACAGTGACTGTGAGGAGAGCTGTCTGCACTGCACACCTTTGGAACTTCACACGTTTTTTAGAAAACCATTTTCAAATCCATCATCTCCTTCAATCCTCACAATGCCCCACGAGTTATTCAGATCCCTGAGAGAGGAGCCGAAGTGCAGTGTTCTTCCACCTGTGCTAGGCTGCTTTCTGCATTATTCCTACTACCGCATTCAGACTCAGGACGCGCTCCAGGCACTCAGCTCCTGTCCTCTTGCATCACGACAGGGACGTGAGGCCCCTACTGCAGAGCAGGGTCTGCAGACACTTTCTGTGAAGAGCTGGACAGTAAACATTTCAGGTTTCATGGGCTAAGAGGCGAATATCTGGTATTTATATAACAAGAGAGAAACAGATTTCCACAATTTTTTTGATGAAATTCAAAGTGTAATAAAAATTAAGTAAATTTTTGTAATACATGTCTACTAAGGAGAAGAATGACAGTCTTTTTTTTTTTCTTGGAATAGTATTTGACTTAATTGTTCAGAGTTCCTGTGCCCTGGCATCAAACTGATCATAAATGTTCATTTGTAAAAGTTATTCTCAACTCCAGGGCTGTGCAAAGACAGCGGGCCCCGCAGCTTGGGCCTGGGGCTGTGGCCTGCTTACAGTGTGGTTCTCCAAATGTGGTCCCCAGTCAGCAGCTTCCACCCCACCTGTGAACTTGCTAACACGAGAATTCTTCAAAAACACCTGACGCAGAAACTCAGGGGGGATGGGGCCCAGTCGCCTAGGTTTTTAGAAGCCCCCTGATGGCTCTGAGCCTGCTGGTGTGAGAGCACTGCTAAACATCTACGCCTGTTTCTATGTGCATCTCTATAGACAGGGATTTATTTACTTTGGGGCGAGGGTTCTGATCCTAACCCTGCATCATGATGCTACAGACAACTCTTCCCCCATATTAGGGCCTTCATTTAAGGGAAAAATCGCATTACATCTCACGTTCATCCGCCTTGGAAAGTAACATCCGAAACTGCTACACTGCCAGTAAGAAACTTTCAACAACGTCCCTATTCACCGAAGACTCAGGGCTCCAAAGACAGTGAATTGGCAGTGCGTTTATTTCAACGCTCCTGGTGGACAAGCTCAGGGCCGGTGAGGGCAGCAATACTGAGAAAGTTTTCTCAAGCCGTGCCACTCCTGGGTGTCTTGGCAGGGACCCCGGGAGGAAATACCTTCAAAACAACGAGGTAATTCAATCTCTACCACCTTCATTAGCAAATTGAAACCCGAGACAATGGCTTTCCCGTCGCCTCGCCTGCCGAGATAGAAACAGGACTTGTCAAGACAAGTTATCAAACGACACCACGCTGGAACGTCCTCAGCCATAGTCTGTACAAACAGCCTCGCCTGCCCGCCACCACCCGCGCGGCGGCGGCTCCAGAAACAGCATCCGCCGCTCATCGAAGTTCACGCACGAGTTTTTAAAACCTAAACCTTTGCTTTTAGTCACTCACTTCTGCAAATCACTCTGGAGGATTACACTTGCCCTCGTTCCCTTTCCACGCCAACACCCCGGAGAACTCCCAGTTGCCATTCTCCCATTTCGGATGCCTCTAAAATCACGGGCAGGTCTAACGAATTAAAACGTTCCCCAGCCCTCTGGAAGGAGGAGAGGACTGTATTGCCACGGGGGAACCACGTTCTGCTCCCCAAAGTTCTGAGGTGCAAAAATAACCCTGAGGCCTTCCCAGAGGGAAGCAGAGAGCAGGAGTTCTGCCAGCTGGAGAGGTCTTGCGGGGCTAAGGGGACACTATGGGGCCGGGTCTTCCCCTGCCTTTCTCTGACTTTCCCTCTTCTCGCTCAACAAACCCGGGAAGTGGAGGGAACTCGGTCCGGGGAGGGCTGAAAAGAACCCTCCTGGCCCAGGGCGCAGCTCCTCTCCCACGGCGTCCAACGCGCTCCCGCGTTCCCTCCCGGCACCCGCGGCCCGACGCACTCCGGGCCCGCAGCCTGGGCGCGGAGCGACTCACGATTAAAGGCAGGGAGCACACGGTGAAGAGCGCGGTCATGAGGGCCAGCAGCAGGAGGTGGTCCAGCTCCTCCAAGGGCTGCGGGGCCGCCTCTCGCGCGCCGGCGCCGGGCTCCGTGCGGTCCCGGGCGCAGGGGCGCGGGCGCTGCTGCAGCCGCCGGTGCATCGTGTAGAGGTTGCGCATGGCGCTCAGGTTGCACAGCACAATGGCGAGGACAAGCAGAGCCATGAGGCCGGCGTAGAGAGCTGAGTAGCCCAGCACCGACAGCGACCGCTCCTCGTGGGCCATCTGGATGAAGCACCAGGTGCCGGGGCAGTACTGCACGAAGCTCCCGAAGCCCGCAAAGGGCAGCGCGCAGAAGGCCAGGCAGAAAGCGCCCACGGCCGGCGCCACCAGCGCACCCCGGCGCAGGGTGATGTGCCGTCGGTAGAAGAAAGGGTGCCCCAGGGAGAGCCAGCACTCCAGGGCCATGGCCAGGAGCTGCAGGGTCGAGGCCAGCCCGAAGAAGGACATGAAGAAAGCGAAGGCTTGGCACAGCGAGCTGCCCGACGCGGGCGCCAGCCCCCACAGGCTCCGGTTCTGCGCGTAGGCGGCCAGCACGAAGGGGCTCACGAGGGACTTGCCCAGCAAGTCGGTGACCGTCAGGCCGCTCACCAGCACGTAGAAGACGGAGGGCGGCGGGCGCGGCGGGCACGACCCCAGCCCCGAGCGCGCCAGCAGCCCGAGGGCCAGGAGGTTGCCCAGGAGGCCTGCGCTGAAGAGCACCCCGCTCATCGTCGCCGAGTTGCCCTTCTCCACCGCGGTGGTGTTGTGGCAGCGGTACAACAACGGCCTCATGGCGGGCGGCGCGGCGGGCCCAGCGGAGGCTGCCAGGACCGGCCGGCGTCGGGTGCGCGGGAGCCCCGGCCGCTCCGCGGGGAAGCAGCGCCTCCTTTCTCTACTCTCGGTCACACCCCGCCCCGAGGGCGGGACGCGCCGCCCCGGTGCGCGAGCGGAGCGCGAGGCCGAGCCCGCTGCCAAGCGGGGAGGAAGGAAGGGAAGTGGTCGGGGTCCGAGTGCACAGGGCCAGTCCTTCCCGCGAGGCAAGAGGCTACTGAAACTGAGGGAAATTAAGCCGCAGCCGCCAGGGAGGATGGGGAGGGCGAGGGGGAGGAGGTGGTAGAACGCTGGTGGTGGCCAAGGAGAGCTCTGAAGATGGCAGAGCGCGGCGCAGAGGGGAGGCTGAGAAAGGGCTACACTAGCGTTTGAATTAGTGGGTTACGGAGAGTACAGGTAAAGAACATGTGCCCGACGCTTAAGCCTTAGCTGGAATCCTCTGAGATCCGCCCAAGGTGGCAGAGCCGGTAAGGGGCGGCGCTGGACCTGGAACCGGGTCTTCTGTTTAGAGAGTCCGTCTGTCTTGCTTTCGCGGCTTGTCCTCCCACGTGGTTGGCCAGATTTCAGGGAAGTGGCTCCAGGGCAAACCAAGAGGAGATGTGGGCCCGTCCCTGAATCTCAGCGGTTGTGTAGACGCGGGGGAAGGGTGATGGTTGAGACGGATGCTGTCCTCAGTCACACCTGGGCTCTGCTCCTCACTGCCTGTCACCCTGCGGGACTTGCTGAACCTCTCAAGCAGGAGCATCCAGCCAGCCCGGTGGCTCTTTCCAGCGTAGGGCTAAGTGCAAAGTGCAGGTGCAGTTAGGGCTCTGTAGCTGCAGCTCTCAGGATTCCCACCTGTGTGGGAAGGCTGTTTTAGGAGCTGATGTTTCACGACAGTTTTTAGCATGGATTTTGAAACCAGAAAATAGTAGATTTGTTTCAGAGCTTTCTAGCTCCGGTTTGTGACTACTAGGAAACTTTTCTTTCCTTCTGGCTTTTGGCTCGGCTGCATCACAGAGGCACAGGAGTGAATTGCCCTAAGTGTGATTTACTTCTTTAATTAGCACTTGATACCCTGGGAGAGAAACTGGCTTGAGTGTGGAATTTGAGTAGGATAACTGACTAGGAGCACTATATGAGTGAGTGGATTACGCCTTGGCTTGAAGAAGCTCCTTTTCAGGCTTGGTGCCTCTTCTGATGGGCAGACTCAGGGCGAGAGAAAGACCCTTCAGCTTCAGATGTGAAAGCATTAAGGGAGCCCTGGCTGGTGACTTAGGCTGTGGGGAGGAGACGGAGGGTCAAGCCTTGGAATAATAGTTCTGAGTCCACCACTGGCTGTGTGTCCCTGGGTAGTTTACTCAAGCTCTCTGAGTTCATTTCCTCATAAATAGGATATGGGGCTTGTGCTGACCTCATCAGGTTGTTGTGAAGTTGAGAAAGCATGCAGCGTTTGGCATGGAGTAACAATGATAATGAGAGCTAACATTTATAGGCCCTTCTGTCTGCTAGGCACTCTCCAGTCCTTCCCCATCTGTTGACTGGATTAATAGAAGGCCTCCCTCAGGGTTAGTTCCCTTGCCCACCTTCTGCTCTCGCCCCCCTCCATCCCCACCTCCAGCCCCTAACGCATAGTGGTGGGTTTAGAGGAGCCCCGCTTGAGCTGATGAAGTGGAGGAAGGAGCAGGCCTCTAGCCAACAGACACAAGAATCTGATGAAATCCGAGGTCTCCTCTCCAGACAGACAGACGCCGAGTACAGGGTGTTCACAGTCTCCTGAAGTCCCCCTGTGGTGCCCGGAGGAGACACAGTGGCCTCTGGCCTAAGCATCCTCCTCTAGGGGTGCGTATGGGGCGTTCCCTGAAGTGTGCCTACTCCCTACTGCTGCCTCAACCCCGTGCCCCTTCCCAGCGCAGTGCAGGGGGACAGCCCAGGAATGGAATGACTACAAGAGCTGCTCCCAAGTGTGAGGAAGGACGACGGTGGATCCCTGATGTGGTTGGTATATGTCATGCTTCCAAGGTTGACAGCCTCAAACGGGTGCCACTCAGGAAGCCACGTGCTTCCTCGTGGCCAGTGCAGCTGGCCTTTGCATGGGGTTGCAACCTTGGAAGCATGACACGTTCACTTAAACTTGAGAAGGTGGTAGAAGAATTCCTCCTTGGATTCCTGACATTTTCAGTATGGTATCTGTAATAATTATCTAAAAGATTTTAAACAGAACGCATGTGTATGCTCACGGCCAGATTTTAGGAAGGGGAGTGCAGGAAAAACAATAGTTTTTCCTGGACCCATCCTAACTGTGCTTCTAAATCTTATCCATCCCTCACTCCTACTGAACTCCAAGCAATATTTTGGGCTGGGGATTGTGAAGAGCAGAGAATAGAGAGGAGGAAAGCCACAAGGGGAAGAACAAAATGGCTACATTTTGGAGCCCCTTCTGTGGACTGAAGGCCATGCTAGGTGCTTCTTCACGTTCCGTGGGCCGGGCGGCAGCACAGCAGCATGGCGGTGATGAGTGAGGTCTTGGCGTCATGCTGTGTGAATTCACATCTCAGCTTTGCCCCTTGCCAGCTCTATAACCTCGAGCAATCTTGTAACCTTTCTAAACCTCGGTTTCCTTGTCTGTAAAAACGAGGGGAGGACAGATAATTGTACGGAACTCACAGGGTGGTTATGTAGCTTAAATACAATTATCTGCAGAGGGCAATAGTTCTCACCCTTGGCTGCACTTCAGAATCATCTAGACAGCTTTAAATGATTCTGGTGCTTCAGCACCTCAAACCAGTCATGTCAGACTCTCTGGGGGTGCCCTCCAGGCATCAGCATTTTTGAAGCTCCCCCCGGTTAACTCCACTGTGCAGCTAAGGTGAGAGCCACTGGCCTAGAATGTTAAGCACGGTGCTGTGACATGCTCTGCACGGCTCTGTCAGTGGTGTTAATGAAAGTTTTTATTCCTGACAGCTGCACCAGAGAAGTTTTCTTTCAGATAAAGAAAACGAGACTCAGGTTAACAACTTCTCCAGTTTCACATAACTAGTAAATGACGAGGCCTCTTGGATTCCCCAAGTCTCTGCTTTGGAGAAAACGAACAAAGACAAGAGGGAGAAAGAGAAAGGAGGGACCCTGTGAATTCCTGTATTTGCTCAGAAGTCGGGAGGCAGAACTACTACCAGGGTCAGACAGCTTGCCAGCTGCCTACGTCTCTGCTGGTTGCGTGTGGTCCTGTGGCCAAGTCTGCACGGATGTCATCTCAGCATCCATTTGCTACTGTTTGCAGGTGGTTTAGTAAAGTCTTCATTTTGTCTGATTGTGATTCCTGCCTATTAGGGTCCCCCAACCTTTCTCCAGCAAGAAATTCCATTTGATATCTTTTGCTGTCAAAGCAAGAAATTAAATCCTCCAGAGATTCTGGGGAGGGGGCGGGTCTTGGTGGACCATGGTTGACCTTCTGTGTCCACGTGTAAATCAGGATCAGGATCTCCGTATGTTCAGGATTTGGAGAAAACATTCTCTCGATTTTCACTTGGCTGTAGTTTAAACCCTAAAGATCAACATAACTTTCTTTTTCTTTTTTTGCTGAGGAAGTTTTGCCCTGAGCTGACATCTGTTGCCAACCGTCCTCCTTTTGTATGTGAGCCACCACCACAGCACAGCCACTGACAGACGGGTGGTGTAGATCCACACCCGGGAACCAAATTGGGCCACCGAAGTGGAGCACCCCAAACTTAACCATCAGGCCACTGGGGCTGACCTGTCACCGTGGCTTTTTGAAAATGTCTTTGTGTGGTTGACAGGGAGTAAGTAAATGGTGTAAATAGTTGGTTCCAGGACCCCCCACAGATAACAAAATCCAAGAATGCTCAAGTCCCTTATATAAAACGGCGCAATATTTGCATAGAACCTACACACATCCTCCCGGATACTTTAAATCATGTCTAGATTGCTTATAATACCTATACATTGTAAATGCTAAGTAAATAGCTGTTATGCTGTATTGTTTAGGGAAAATAGCCTGTGCGTGTTCAGTACAGACACCACCATCGAAGGTCTTTCGGTCCACGGTTGAGTCGTTGGATACGGAACTGCAGATGCGGAGGACTGGCGGGAACACACCTGTGAACCCATGCAGGCTGGAACGGTTCCCTGGTTACTGAGATTTTCTAGCACCTTGTGGGGCTCTAAGGGGAGTTGTTGGCAGGTGTGTCTCGCTTGTTCCCTGTGAAGCCGGCTCTGAGATACAGATTGTGGGGTGTTTATGAGGGAGTGCTTTTGGGATTAGCACCTGTGAAAGGGAGGGAGCGGAAGCGGGATTGGGCAGAGGGGGACGTGGGGCTGTGATGCAGTTTCAATGAAAGGCATGGACCAGCCCAGCTGGAAGCTCGGGAGCTGAAAGGGGCCCTGGAGTTGTCCTGAAGTCGGGGAGGGCCAGGCACTGGGGCCGGGGCAGGGAGCATGCCCTTGGGTGCAGCTGCTCTCTTGAGACGGGCTGTCCGTGGAGGGGCTGGCAGCTGGAGGAACAGGTGCTTCAGTGCTGAGGGGACCTAGGGGGCGCATCACAGCCTCCGCCGCCAGGACAGGCTGGCGGGCATCCCAGCTGAGCCCCAGAGGCACTGGGCCCTTCAGCTCCACCTGTGCTCACCTCAGGGTTCAGGGAGCCTCCCTGAACGGTTCTCTGGTGATTCCAGGCAAGTCAGGCCAATACCTAGGCCACAGCATTCCAATGTTATTTTTTTGGTGCCATTTTTGATCTAGCTTTCCTCAGGATAGTCTTGGATTTTTAGTTCATCTCTCTAATCACTCAACAGTCTTCTTCAGATTCTTCCCAGAAGCTCTTTGCCCCCATCCCCAAACCTAAGTCAGCCGCTCTCTCAGGCGCATCAAATGCCCTGTGCCCTTTGCCCTATCAGATTGTGTTGTGTGTCTGCACGTCGGGATGTGAGTCTCTCAAGGGCAGGGGCCATGTCTTCTTTAGCTTCGTGCCCTCACGTCTCAGCACACACTGCTGGGCACGAGACAGGATGCACAAGTGTTTACTGAGTGAAGGAACAAGCGTGACACCTTCTACTATTTTCCTTGTCCTGAAAGACTCTGTCCTTGAGTCTTGAACAATTTTGATCTCTTGTTCTAAGAAGATAAGATATTCTTCTGTATTCAACTACCAGGCAGAAAGGCCAGGTTAAATACATATGAGTATGTAAATGCGAGTCTAGGGCCTCAAGATTACTTCATGTACCTGGATGTGGCTCTGGAGGAAGAGCTAAAGGCAATAATTGAGCTGACTTTTGAAATCAGTTGTTTCTGTTTCTGTGCTAGTGTATATGAAAGATGAATTATTTAAAATAACACACATTCTTGGCAGGAAAGCTTTGAAAACAAACAACTGGAAGAGTTGGAAACTTCAAGCTTTAAGAATGAATTATTGGGGCCGGCCAGGTCATGCTGCGGTTAAGTTCGCACGTTCTGCTTCGGCAGCCTAGGGTTCGCCAGTTCAGATCCCAGGTACAGACCTAAGCAAGGACCTTGTCAAGCTGTGCTGTGGCAGGTGTCCCACATAAAATAGAGGAAGATGGGCACAGATGTCAGCTCAGGGTCAGTCTT